AAAATCTTTTAAAAAAAAAAAAAAAAGGAGGATGCCTTTTTGAAAGGGGAGAATTTGGCAATATGGACCGAAAACTTTTACCAACATCCCTAGTACTAGGAATTTAACCTACAGGGAAATACCCTAACATTCATGTGCAAAAATGGTTTGGGCAAAGTTCTTTGTATTAATGAGAAAAATGGAAACAAGAAAACAGTTAAATCAATTATATAAAAGAATATGGTAACAGCCATTAACAAGTAAGTTGCATATTTAAGGATATGAGCAAAAGTATATAAGATATCTTTAAGTGGAAACGCAAATAGTTATACTGCATTTACGGCACGAGTTTTTTCCTTCTTTTTTTTTAAACAAACATCAGTGTATATACCCACACAAAAATTTTATGCAGGTTAAAGCTTGTTTTATCGAATGACTGATTCAAAAATATTAAAAGTGGTAATTTCTGGGTGGCAGGATCATGAGAGATTTCTGTTTTTCTATTTACATCTTCTATACTTTCTCAAATGAACATGTATTTAGAGAGCTGATGTTGAATAGTGATTCTGAGCAAAGACCCTGTAAGCCAGCCAGAGTCTGAATCCCAGTTCAGACATGGCCTTGGGTAATTTAGCTAGCCCCCAGTGCTTCAGTCTCCTTATCTGTAAATCGGGAATAATAACGAGAGTGCCCCATAGGTTTACTTGCAGGATTGAAATGAGTGAATATAAGTAAAGCACTTAGAACATTACTGGCATAGAGTAAATGCCATAGAAGTGTTGCTACTGTTATTACCATCTATTTTTAAATATTTTTAAATATATATAACTTTGTTAAAAGGCAATATAAGCCGTTATATATCACAAATCGTTTTGATATGTTTATCTTGTTTCTTCAACTGGAAAACAAGCTCCCGGAAGGTAGAGACCACGCTGCCTATCTGCTCCTGGGTATCTCCTTCCCCACCTCCCACCTCCTCTGCCTGCAGCATTGGGCAGATAGGAGATTGCAGGAAATGAAGGCTGACTGTTTTAACTCCGTACAGCAAAGCAGCCAGAGAGTTGACCACGCCTCACTGACTCTGAGACTGTAAACGAAGCAATGCTGCCCAAGAGGAGGCTCCAAAAGGTGAAAAGAACATCCAGGGGGAAAAGACTAGCAGAAGCACCAGCTGTTAGCAATGGCTCGACCAGCTGGTCCCAATGCGTGCTACTAAACAGAGGGCTGGCAGGGCTATGAGCTACCCTGACCACCGCAAATCACACCCTCACAAGGGAAAGCCTAGCCATGGACATACAATGTATTAAGACCCATTCAAACCTCATTTCAGGGATCTGTCATGAAGTAAGGTCTTCCGACTTTGAGCCTCATAGTGGACCGGGCTCTATCTCATGGTGACTGGCTCACTGGTGAAGCAATGATAGTATAACAGCAAATATGCAAGAAAATTCTTCTTCTATAAAAACATAATCTCCATTTAGAAACACTAGAAATAAAGTTGCACATTCAGTTTCTCACCAACGTCTGGACAGTTCCCACCTAGAAACTCTGCAAAGTCTCTAAACTATGTATGCTCAGATGCACATAACCAAGGTGAGAGTTTGACCTTCTGGTTGAGCACAGCAAAGAGACAGGTTTCATTACTGAAGGAGGTCATGAATGACCTGAATTTAAAACATGGTCCTTTTTATGGTGTTATAAGAGACACGGTGACTTTCGTGCCCATAAAAAATCAATTAACTAGAAAGCAGGATCCAGAATACAAATGAATGATTCCTGTTTTCCGAATAAGGAGAATAAAAATCCAGTTCTTGGCAGGGTAACCTTACTGGAATTAAAATAAAGCCTGACATGAACGTAAGAGCCGAGGCGTAGGTCTTGCCCAGCACTATACTCTCAAAAATTTGCAGGTGAGTCAGAGAGTCACGGGTTGCAAAGGACCTTTTGTTCTTAGAGCTGTGAGTCATCTTCCTAGGCTACCAAACATATGATAGATGTCTCTATTGCCAGGTGATTTAAAGTATTTCAGGATACATAAATCAAACACTATTCTGAAATAACGCCGGCCCTTTGGCCAGAGGAGCATTAAGTGGGCGTGGTTCCAGATGAGCATCATGTGACTTACTCAGCTCTTCCATGTTGACTCCTCTGGGGACCATCTGCAGCAGAATGGCAGCAGTCTCCTTGATGAGTGGGAAGGCAGATGACAGAATGATGATGACCATGATGATAGTCAGGCTGGGGTCGATGTAGCATTGCCAGTTACAGGGGTCCTCAGGCTGCAGGGGATGCACGTAGAATACGATGGCCGTGACCACCACGACCACCGAGCCCAGCGCATCGCCCATCACATGCAAAAGTACACCTGCCAGGAGGAAAGACAGACCGCTAAGGGACAGATCCAAACTCGGGAGCTGCGTGACGCTCAGTGACCTGGGTTCCCAAGTCTAAGACCAGTTGCTATTTGTTTTCTTTTTGGTTAAAACAGCAGGATGGATGCGAATGAAAAAAATAAAAAAGTCCTCTACTTTGCAGAAAACAAAACCCTAGGCCACCATCCCAGGACGCAGAGAACCTGCAACAGCCTAGGAAGATTCTGAGCTATAGACGCCAGTGGGAAGAGGGACTGTATCTTCCCATGGTGCCTCACCACCCCTGCCTGCCACTCGTCAGAAGGCACCGAACTGGAAAACAGAGGCTGTGCAAATGGTTTCTTAGTCTTTCAGACAAGTATCTGCGATTTAAATGGTTTTAAACATTTTCAAGAGGAGAAGGAACTAAGACATATCAAGAGAGTGGTTCTTGGGGCGCCTGGGTGGCTCAGTCCATTAAGCGTCCGCCTTCGGCTCAGGTCATGATCCCAGAGTCCTGGGATTGAGTCCCGCATCGGGCTCCCTGCTCCACGGGGAGCCTGCTTCTCCCTCTCCCTCTGCCTGCCTCTCTGCCTACTTGTGCTCTCTATCTCTCTGTCAAATAAATAAAATCTTTTTTAAAAAAATAATTTGACCTTTGGAGTCAGACAGACTTAGAACCAAATCCCAGCTCTGCTACTCACTTGAGAGACTTGGGGCAAGTTCCTTACAACTTTCTTTTTATTCATGTGTGTGAACTAAGGATAATAATAGTATCTATCTCATGGGGTTGTCACAAGGCTTAAGTGAGAAAATGTATGTAAATTGCTTAGTGGAGTGCTGGGCTTATAAGAAGGGCTCAATAAGTGTTAAACAAATTTCTATTTTTTATAACCACCCAGGTTGTGGTATTTCGTTAGCAGCCCGAATGGACTAAGACAAAGTATTGGAATGCAAATTACCAACTGTTGAGTGCACAGGTATAAACAAATGGCTATGATTTGTATATCCCACCGGGGATGATGAGATTGGGCTATTTGATACATTTGGCAGTAACAATGCCATGTTATTTGGGGTCAGCTAGTCTTTGTGGGCACCACAGCTCTGGTCTGTGTGCTCCTTACCATCTGCAGATCCCAAGGGCACCCCGAGATACTCATTGGGAAGTACTATGCATGACATCTGGAGAGGGAGGGGAGGGTAAGTGAGAACAAGCAAGTGGAAAGGGACATGGCTATTGGGAGGAAAGGGGAAAGGATTAGAGGCAGAACTGGGAAGTCAAGAAACACATCATCCAAAACTGATCACTTACTGACAGCATTTGGGTGGGACTCCTTCTGCTTGGTGAATAGGAGAAAAAAAAAATCAGCTTTTGGACCATTTCCAACTCAAATGGAAGGAAAAAACCAAAAACCTTCAGAGGTACAAGAAACAGGGAGAAACTCTCCTCCCCACCCATATGTATTCTAAACCCAGGAATCGTTTTAGCTGTAAGTTAGGTTCCGTGTCACTTAATAATTTACAAAAAGCTTTTACACGTGTTATTGAATGCCATCGGAAACATTTCCACACAAACAGCAGATTTCTTCACCGCTAGCTTTGCCTTATTTTTTAGACTAGGGTCCATCCCCCCACCACTAATCCACAGTTCCACTTTCTGCAGTTTTAGTCACCTGCACACCTTCCAGTGTGATCTGGAAGGTGATCCTCCTGATGTAGCCTCAGAAAGTCAATAGTAGCCTAACACGACATCACGATGCCTACGTCATCCACCTGCCTTCATCCCATCACGAAGGTACTAAATCTCACATAATCACAAGAAGGGTGAGTACAGTACAGTAAGGTATTTTGAGAGCAACCACATTCACATAATGTTTATTACAGTTCATTTCTATAATTATTCTATTTTATTATTGGTTATTATGTTCATGTCTTACTGTGTCCAATTTATAAATTAGACTTTATCATAGATATGTATGTATAGGAGAAAAACATAGTATATATAGGGTTTGGTACTATCTATGGTTTCAGGCATTCACTGGGGGTCCTAGAACATACCCCACGCAACTACTGTATGTGAAAACGGGAGAGTCCATCTGCCCAAGAAATTGTGGGAATAATTGTGCGTGGGTTAAAATAAAACCTATAAATAAATACCTTTACCTTTATCTGCCAAAGGCACTGGTTCAACATTCAAGGTTATGTAGTAGAGAGACGTAGGTTTTGGAGCCACTCAAATCTGGGATATAATCTTGGCTCTGTCCGTTATTAGCAACTGGGCATATCCCTTAGCTTCTCTGAGGTCCGTGTTCTCATTTATAATCTGGAGGTAGCGGTATCATCCTGTCCCACGGTGGCTGTGAGAATCAAAGGAGATAGCATAGTGGAGAGCCTGCGTGGTGCTCTTACAGTAGATAGCCGACAAAGAGTGGCTGCTTTCTTTACCTTCTGGCTGTCATCATTCCCAGAAATATTGTTGATTTCTGGTAAGTAACAATGGGGCATCCCCTTCACAGTTTTTCAGATTACCCTATTTTTCATAAGATCGTCTATTTCCCCTGGGTTCAAATAATCCATTTGGCTTAGAACTAATTAGCTATTGATTAATAAAATGTATTATGAATGAAAATATTAATAAGATGCATTATGAATCAAAATATTGATTAATAAAATATTTTAAGAATATAAAAATACTTTCAAATATTTTACAAATCTGAAACTCCCAGCTTCTCAGCTATCATTACTGTGTTTCTTTGTCCATCATGACTCTCTCATCTGTTATCACGTGGCAGAAGAACAGAGATAGTCAGGTGACTGGACCGAGAAAGATAACTTTATTACCGTCACAAAATGAGAAGTGTTAAGTATTAAAATGATATCTGGAGAGCTAAGATTCTTGACCTCTGGTGCTAAATTACTGCACAACTTAGACCAGTCACTAAATGTCTGAGCCTTAGTTTTCTAATCTGTAAAATGCAAATAAGAACCTCATACTACTCAGTGCACGTCGATATTTTGAACATCAAACAAGACAATGAAGGTACAAATGCATAGACAAATAAAAGGCATTGCTGTTGTTACAATGAAGAAGCCACAATCAACATGAGTTCTAGAAAGCAAGCACTGTTATTTGCAACCACCATGAATGTAAGTGGTGCAACCAGGGTTTTCGGCTGCCTAGAACCCCTCCCTGCTTCCTTCTGGTAAGATGCCTTGTCCCGTTGGACACAGATGTGGGCATATAACTAAGGTTGAGCCAAACATAGTTCCTCATTCCCCGGCCACAGTGCTTGATTCAAATGATGGGCACCTGATCCAATATGGGCCAGAATTCTTCTCTTGAAGTTTTCAAAATATATCAGAGAGAGGTTCCCTGTCTTGTCTGGCCACTAAGGCAGTGAGGAGGTGACTCAGAGCCCCTAATAATTATGTCTCCCCTTGCTTTCTTCCCCAAATCCCTCATTCTGCAGTAGGAAAGGAAGCAGAAAGAGATGAGAGACAGTGAAAGAGAATCTCTAATGGAATTTCAGTCTCTGGTTCCAAGTTAATTATGTGAACGCATAAAAGTTCCCTTTTTGCTTAACCAAGCATAAAGTGGGGTTTTGTCACTTGCAACCAGACCCTTCTGGTCAATAGTTGACCAAGAACCTATGCCTATTATAAAGTGCTAAGAATGGTTTTATCCTCTTCTCCACATTCATGACTCATGAGAAATATAAATTTAATAATTAAAAAAATAAAATGGCCGACTAAATATGACCTTTCCTTACTTCGATTCCTCACCAATGCAGGAGAACTTATTCCTGCTCCGTTTTTCTGCTCCCTCCAAAGGAAGAACTCCAGAAAACACTGTCATATAGTCTTTACTTCCTCAAATACCATTCTCTCTGCCACTCCCTCCCCCCTCAATGCCACCTCCATCTCCATCAAACCATGGACAAGGCTTTGTGAAAGTTACTCACGAGCTCCTCATACCGGAATCCACTGGTTTTCTATGCTCATCTCGGAATTCTCGGCAACATTGGTTACTGAAAACCTTGCTTTCCTTTTTGAAGACTCTCTCCATTTAACCGCTGAATAATGTACCCTCCTGGTTTTCCATTTCCACTTCTAAATGTTGGCGTGTCCCAGGACTCAGTTTTAAGCCCACTACTCCTCTCTATCCAAGCTCATCCCTTTGGTTATCTCACCCAATCCACTCTCCAGGACTTGACTTAAGCTATTCCCTCCTCCTGGAACATTCTCTACCCCACTCAACTCCTCCTCCCCCTGTCTTAGGTCTCAAAAGCCACTTCTTCAGGGAGATTTCCTTGACACTCGGCCCCCTCTGTGGCCCACAGGATGACAGGAAATAAAAGAAAGAACAGACAAAAGAATAAAAGAAAGAGGGTAGGAGGAAAAGAAGGAAGGAAGAAGGGAATGAACGAACATGGTTCACATTTGAGCTCACAGTGTTTTGTTTGTGTTAAGGAAACTCTCCGTTCCCCAAGCTTTGCATTTACTCAGGGACACCTCCACGGGGAATAATCCTCCTCACCTCTTTCTGTCGCTTCCGCAGCTTTTCTCAGAAGCAGGGTAACTACTCCAATTCCTAGGTGTGGGGGAAAGCATGGAGCATGCTCAGCTGACCTCTTCTGACCTTCTTTTCCAGATTTGCCTCCCCACAGAGACCTGCAATCCTGGTCCACAAGTCCAGGAGGGACTCTAAGGCGCTGCCCCAGTGCAGGGAGGTCTGGAACTGGGTGGGTGAGTTTAATTCTGGGAGGAACTATTAACAAGCTCTTTGTTGCTCCGCATCTAAGCCATATCCTGGACTATGTCATATCTACAATAAAGTTGGCATTATGTTCAAATGTCATCTATATCTTATCTCTCAATTGTTTCCAAACCTAGGAGAGTAAGAGAAGGGTATAACTTATTAGTCCCTAAAGCCCTAACATCCTGGTGTGTTGGCAGGAGCCTGGAGAAGGATTAAGCTAAGAATCTACAGGCCAAAGTAGCCCATGGGGA